AGTTTTCACATCTCTGAGAGTAGAAAGAGGTAGGTATCTCTGGATTCATTACACAGAAGAATTTGAGGCTAGAGAAGTTGAGGCTCGCTAAAGTTGATGCATTGAATTATTTGTAGATTTTATGTGTTCCCTCACTCCCAATCCCAGAATTTAAGAAATTTTTATACGTCAGCACATTAAAAGTTAAACTTGTTTAGTTTAGAGTTGGAAAAATTAATAAATATTAAATGAAACATTATAAAAATATTTGGATTAAATAACATTAATATGTCTATTATAAGTATAACAATAAATATTTTGATGTTCTCTTAAAATATAAGAAGTTTTAGTTTTAAGAGGAGCAAAAGAGAAAAGATTAGATGGCTTATTAATGATATTTTCTCAGATGTTCTTCGCATATTTTTCTAATGAAGTTATAATTTCCTATTATGTGATAATGGGAATATGAATAACTAGGGATATAAGATTTTGTTGTTCAGTCACTTCTGAGTCTCAATGACTCTGTGGACCATGTTGTCCATGAGGTTTTCTTGGCAAAAATGTTGCGGTGTGAGAGGTTGAGAGGTTGTGACCCCTCAAAGACAGGAGTACAGGGTCATCTGGAATGAATTCACAGACTCAAGCATTCTTTAAGCCAAGGTGGCAAAGTTTATTGTTACGATTTTCAGCGGGCAAGGATTCTTAAAGGATCCTGCGGGAGACTGAGAATGCAGCTAGGGTTTATATGGAAAAGAGCATGGGAAAGTAATGCCAGGGACACTGATGAGGTAATCCAAAGGTGCAGGTGTCTTTGGGGGCTATGGATGGGAAAGTACAGGGAGTATACTGGACAGGGAGGGAGATGACAGAGGTATGGATCTTTGGAGTCTGGCAGGAGGAAGACTCCTTGGGCTGGGCAAGGCACCCCTCTCCCTCTGTCTTGATGAGAGAATGTTCTGCAACAAGGGAAAGCTTTCTCACAAGACAGGAACTACTAAGGAATTGGGAGGCTTCCAGAAACATGATCTGAGGGCTGGGGCCTGAGCAGCCCAGCTCTGTGTAGCTGTACCAGGGAGAGAGATAAGGGTCATGCTGAGGCCCATGCATGAATAACTGCTAGGCACAGTGTCCTTGGGCTGGGGAGAAACTGTCAGGGATAATGTTTCTGAGGCTAGGGAGAAATTGGGGTACAAGTACAAGCACAAGCATCCAAACACAAGCACCAAAGCACCCCATCAAAGATACTGGAATGGTTTGCCATTTCTTTCTCCAGTGGATTAAGGCAAAAAGAGGTCAAGTGACTTGTTCAGGGTCACACAGCTAATAAGTGTCTGAGGCCAGTTTTCAATTCAAGTCTTCTTGACTCCAGGTCCAGTGCTTTATCCACTGAAGCACTGATAAACCCTTTTTTAGCCAATAATTTACCAGAATTCTACTTTTGAGATCTCAGGGTAGAAACAAGAAAATGCAAGAAAAATGTGAAAGCTAAGAGGTTAGAAAGACTTCTGTTTGATTGTCTACTTTTGGTAATAAGAAGCCTATAGGGATGGGAGAGGTTGAGTCAGGAGCCTATGCTGTATCTTTATTAGTAGAAGGACCTTTTTTGTGCAGAAACTCTGGTATGTAAAACCAGTGTTGGCTTGGGCATTGAGAAGATCGAAAATTACTTAATCATTAAGCATTTAGTAAGTTATGGTGCCAGGCATTGTGCGAAGTGCTAGAGATACAGAGAAAAAATGAAATAATCTTTGCCCTCAAAATGCTTACATTCCGTCACTTGGTGTTTGAGCCGAGCTTTTAAAAAAACAGTATGCATACTTATAAATATATGTATACACACATACATACATACAAAATGAATGTGAAGGAACTTTTGAATGCAGGCACTAGCCTTTGAAAGAAAGAAACTAGGGGATTCTGGAAGTTCTGAGAGGCATAGGTTAAGAAGGTATGCCTTCTAGGCATGAGTGACATTCGGTATAAAACCTGAGGGATGAGAGATGGACTCTCCTGTGTGAGGAATAGCATAGACATTGTCTGTATGTATAAAGGAGAGTGATGTAAAATAAACCTGAGAGGACTTGAAATGTCCTAGTTTAGGGAGCCACTAAAGTTTCCTGAGCATGGTCCAGAATATTCTCCTGGCCCTTGTATAGAAGATGAACTGGAGAGAGTTAGGGAGAGACTGATAAGGAGGCTATTATAGTAGTCCTGGAAGAAATGATGAGGGAGGGCCTTAACAAGGGTGTTTGTGCTCTGAGTAGAGAGGAGATTGCTGATGAACAGTGTTGTTGAGGTAAATTAGGAAAAGTCACGGCCACCAGTCTGCTATTATATTGCAAGAAGTTTTTGAGTATTTGCATATATGTATGAATCTGTTACAAACATGAATATATACATAGATATAGCCATTTGTGTACACGTATAGAAATGTGTACATATTATGTCTGAGGCAGCATTTTCCAATATCCAGGTCCTCCTAACTTAGGACCATCCCTATATGTACTGCACTGTGTTGCCTTTTAGGAGAGTCACGGGATGAAGACGGTTCAAAGTTGTTGGCCTTCCAGAAGTTAAGAAGCAGGGACATGTAGTAGAAAGAGCACCAGTATTTGGGGTCAGAAGGCTTGGCTTTCAGTGACAGCCACTAGGATATGATGTCAAACAAGACAATCAGCCTCAGCCTCAACTAAATCATTGTAATAGTTGTGTTACTCACCTCCAGTATTATGAAGAAAGTGCTTTGTGAAATTTAAAGCACTACAAAAATGTGAGTTATTAATTTCTGGGTAATAATGACACAATATGACCCTTTTCCTTAGACATAGATGAAAACCTAGAGAAGCATATTCATTTTAGATTCACAGGGCCTGGATTGGGGCTGATGCTTTAAACAAACAAAAGAGAAAAACACAACATTAAATTTCAGATTATGCTTTTTGTTTCTTAAATGAAGGATTGTGGAAGAGTCTGTTATAAGGCAGTGAGGTGTCACAGTGGATAAAGTGTAACTTGGAGTCAGGAAGACTGAATTAAAATGCTGCCTCAAACAGGGCAAGCCACTTAGACTCTTTCAGCCTCAGTTTCCTCATCTGGAAAATGGTTATAATCATAGCACTTAATATATTTGCACAACACTGCAAAACTTTAAGTGCTGTAGAAATGTTAGCTGTTGTTAGCTATTATTATAATAAAAAGAATTCGGAAATACTGCCTTTGCTTCCAGAAGAAAATGCCATCCAGGTAATGCTATGTTTAGTTTTAAAAATTTAGGAGGAGAAGTAGTTTTGAGGTTGTCCCTGTGGTCATCAGTGTCCTTAGACGGACCACTCTTGAACAGTGACCTGCTTGATCAGACAGATGAACTCTCTTAGAATGTTTGTTAGAGCAGTGTGCAGATCAGCTGTAAAAGACCTCACTTCATGACAAGGAGACAGATGATGAGGAGTGAGAAAAGCTTTTCTTTCTGCTACTTGTGCGACAACTCATTTATAAGTGGAGTATTTCAGACAGAAATGTCATCCGTCTTTAAAATAATAAAAAATTCATTTGGCAGGAAAAATAGTGCGACTATACTGAATTGTTACAATGTATTGTTTACTAGAAACCTGGTTCAATATTGGTAAATACAGAGTAGCAGAAACTGAACTGTTGTGTTCTATCTGGGCATCAATCCAAGATACCATTAAAAATACTGCCACAGACTAATTTGGGTTTTTGAATAATGTTCTGTTAACAGCTCAACTGAAATTAAATCACATGGAGCAATTTAAAAATGAAGAGTTCACATGATAACGGGAACTGTATGTGTATAGGCAGAATAATTAATATTCTTTGCATGTGGTATGGAGTGTGTATATATATATGAGTGTGAATGCATGTATAGATCATATATAGGGGTGTATGTATATATAGCTACGTACGTATATATGTGTATGTATTTAATTTTCAGACTAAAATTTTGAATGCTTTAGTGAAAGTCTCCTATCTCTAGATCTTTTTAATACATTTTTTATTATATTTTTATGTGCCTCATAAAATTCAATAATTTCTGTTAGTGTCAAAGTTAGAGACTGATGGAAGATTGCTGAACAAATATAAAAATGGGTATAGTATTAGTGAGAAATAAGATTTTTGGCATGCACATGTACAAACAGTGAAGGTTTATATTAACAGGCAGAAAAAAATTGGAGGAGGTAAAGTTGTTAGAAAGTTTCCATGAAATAATCACATTCTTATGCAAATGAATGATTTATTTGTACTATAAAAGAAGACTTCCTGGAATATAGGGAAGGGAATTCATATTATTGGTCATAGACTTATAATTATAAAATTATGCTGTGTAAGCTAAGACAAAGGGAGTGAACTAACAGAGAACAAACCTGAATTGTGATCATGACCTTTCCTGCCCGCAGAAATGCAGCTTTGCCTTTTTTTCCCACATATTATCTTAATTGTAAGAAGTTTCTGAATATTCATGAATGTATGTGAATCTATAGAGCAAATATGAATGTATACATGGATGCATCCATTTGTGTTTACATATATAAACATGTATATTTGCATATCCATATGTTTTTATGTATGTACTCAGAAACATGAGTATATGTGTGATTTTATTAGTAGGAAAGTTGTCCTCTTTAGGAAGAAAACTCCTGATTATGATTGGTACCTACTCTGCAACTTACATGTTTGGAGAATTGCCTAGGGCTCTCAGAGGTCAAGTGACTGGTTCTGGGTCCCTCAGCTAGTGTGTGTTAAGTTAAACCTGAACCCTCTTCTTCTCACCTCCAAAGCCAACTCTTTAGACCCTACTCAACGCTGCTTCTTGTGTGGGTACACACACGTACATGAGAATATAGAGAAAAATGGAAACATAAATGCCCCCATAAAGCATGGGAAAGGATGTTTCTCTTGCATTTTGTAATGAAATTATTTTAGAAGGAAAAAGAATATGTCTTCTCTGAGTTTTAATTTTAAAAAGCTTTCCCAATTATTAATATATTTTATTCATTTTCTAGGTTAGCACTCTATGTATATGAATATCTGCTCCATGTAGGAGCTCAGAAATCTGCTCAGACATTTTTATCAGAGGTATGTTTTGTATCTTTTTTGGCTTACAATTTTGCTACATTGCATAAATAAATGGATGCCTGTTTTAAAATAAGCAATTTTATGTAATTGTGTATGTGTGCTTGCATGTTATATAGTGAACTATGTTATTGGCATGTATTTACTTTGTGGATTATCTGTATAAGCAATTTTTAAAAATCCCAGACTACACTCAGCATACTTTTAGTCTACATTTCCCTCCTTGAAGTTGGTGCTTCCCTAAGAATTGCAGAGCAATATTAATATTATCCTAAGCAAAATACAACCTAGAAGGCAAATGTGCTGCTTTAAAATAATCTTTTGTATTCCTGAACCACAAATTATTTGGGGAATAACTATTATTTTAGAATATTTGTTCTATCCATTAATATGGCTATAACACAGAATCGATTCCTTTCTCATATTTTAGTTAGGAAATATTTCAATTATTACCTTTTGAGCCTTTCTCTTTTCCTTACCTATACCTGTTTGACTAGCTCTTAATTTGAGTTTTTTTTCCACAGTGGTTCTATTTTTTCTAATTCTCTTACTGATTCTGATGCCTTCCAGACTGTGAGAGAAGAAGAGTTTGGATTATTGTTGTTCAAGGTTGTTACTAGTCTTGCTTTTACTTGGTCCACTCCAGGAACTCTTTCTGAATTCCAGAGCAAGTTTTGTCTCTTCAGGGCATGACTTGGGATCTCTGCAATCCAACCTTCTTCTGCCCAAGGTATAATTACCTTTGTGGGTTTTTTCCCTAAACCAAGATAACTCCTTTTTGTTCCTTAAATTTTGCAATATTTCCACACCTATATTTGATACTACAAAAGTAGTAGTCTTCAAATGAAAAAGATGTCATGTAGAGCCATAGAGCTCTATGGATAATTTATTTCAACACCATCATTTTACCAATGATGGAACACGTTGTCTCCTGTTCCTTAAGGGCAGAAATTGTTTCACGTTGTCTTTGTATCCCCATCCTTTAGCACATGCTTGCTGATTGATTAACTAGTTGTCCTCATGCTGCCTTTTCATATCCCAAGACCGAGTGCCAACATTTGCCCTGTGTTTCTGCCACAAGTCATCCTCAACTGCTGCTGGAGGTGGGATGGGGAGAGAAAGGGAGAAATCTTTTTCCTTCTGCTCCCTAACTCCTTAGTGCTCTAGAAGAAAGGTTCAAGGGAAATTGTGAAAAAGTAAGCAAGCAAAAGGCCAAGAACAGTCTCCCATTCTGTCTCACTCCCATTCACAGCTTAAGTTGATTGGGGAATCCCCCTGATCAGCCCTTTTTTCCACATACGTATGTATATGTTACTCACTGTATATGCATACCTAAACCTCAACATCTCCGATTTAATGAATGCCTGATATGGAATGGCCACCCTATCTGATTGCCTGTGTTCCTAAAGGAACATTCTTGAAATTTCTCTACCTTTCCATTTCACCTTTTCCCTTGGCTATTGCCAATACCATTTCTGCCAAGAATTGCCTCCAACTCTTACCTCCAGTCCCTAGTTTTAACCTCTTCCAGGAACTGATTCAGGACATCCTGTGTGATGGTTGTATCAGTGGAAAAGGGCAAAAAGGAGTGAGTAAAATTGGCAAATGAAGTGAAGGAAGGGAAGTTATCCCCTTGTGATCATTTCCCCCTAATTTATAGCTGTTATTCTTTCCCACCCCATTACTGAACTACCTTTTGCATTCTCCTCTAATTTTTTTATGAACTTAGCAAATGTCAACAAACATGAACATTCCAGTGTACAGAGAACAGAAGAGAGAATCATATATTAAGCTGCAAATTTCTGTTTAGTTTTGTTATTTCTGTTCAGTTTTTAAAGGTGTACATTAAATTTAACATGATAATAACATCCTTGTTGTGTGTGTGTCCCCTCTTGAACTTCTTTCTGCTCTCTTTGTTTTTTGTTTCATTGGTAGTTTTATTTTTCTTCTTTTATTTGAGTCACTCTCACTATCCATCAGCTCTCCAGCCCCAATAGAAAGAAGCTTTCCCTTGTAATCAGTCAGGCAAGCAAAACAAATCAGTACACTGTCCATGTATGAAAACGTATGTCTCCTTCCACACCTCTATTGATGCGTCACCATTATGTCCAGCAATGGGAGGCATGCGTCATCATGTCTTCCAGAGTCATGATTGATCACTGCATTGATCAGAAGTCTTTCCAACCTGTTTTTCTCTACCCAGTTGTATAAATCATTCTAGTTCTACTCCCTTTACTCTGTCTCAGTTCATACTAGTCTTCTCAGGTTTCTTCGAATCTAATTCTTCTGCCATTTCTAGGAGAGTAATAATATAATTACATCAAAATCCTATACTTTTGTTTTTAGCTATTCCCCAGTTAATGGATACTCACTTCATTTACAGTTTGTTGCTACATCAAAAAATTTTGTTACAAATATTTTTATTTGTATAAGTCTCCTTCCTTTGTCTTTGATCTCTTTGGAGTGTAGTAGTAGGATAATAGAGTCAGAAGGTATGTACAATGTAACACTCCCCTCATTTCCAACTTTTTGCACAAGCTCCTACCTTGGTTCTTGTTACAAAATGCCCATTATAGGCTAAGTCTGGGATGTCTTCCAAAACATAGATGAATCTTACTTCAGGCTTTTGTGCACTCAAATATTCACCATTATTGCTTCTTTGTGCCTTTGGTTTTGGTTTGGTTTTTTTTTCCCCTGTAGAACTTAAGTAGAGAAAAAATTTTTTTAAAGTTTGTGGGAGATTGTCAGGTAGATAGAAGAGAGCCTTTTAACCCCTACCACTTTCCTCATTACTTCAAAAAGTTAGAGTCTTAAATCTCAAAAGAACCATGTACTTGCTTCAATGCCAGGAAAGGAGAAGCTGTGAGATTGTTATGTTTTCCACTGGGTGGGAAAAATACTAATTGGGGAATATGGGTAGTAGTGATGGACAGTTAAGAAGATAGGCTATTCCTTGCCCTTAGGAAGAGAAGAAAGGTAGCCAGGTGTGAATGACTCACAGATTCTTAAAGTTCAGAGGCTACCTAAGAAAACCTGTACCTGCACAGCCACCCATGTTACCACATCCGAGACAACTGGTTGTGCTGATTCTACATGAAGTCTATTCATCTCAGCTAAATATTGTTTTTCTTTCAGTTGTTCTTCATATGACAGTTTCTTGTTTCCTCTCCATTCTGGTCTGTTTTCTCTAAGTACATTACATTTTATCAGGTTTGCTCATAGAATGTGACTCCAAACTAAATACAGGACTTTTTGTATAGTATGATCAGAACACATCCCTTGTTCTAAGGCCTTGTTAGATCTGCAATCTCATCAATATGGATACTCCTTCTAGTGATTCTGGCAGCAACTCTATCTGAATGCCTGCCTGTCTTATAGTAGAATCTATATTTCTATTAGTGCAACACAAGAGCAATTTTATTTGTTATTGGCTGCCACATTGCGTTGCTAACTCGTAGTGAGTTGGGAGAACAATAGGGTCCCAAGGTCCCTTTGCTCATAAGCTCCCATCTGGATATATCTCATTCATGCTATATTTCTGTCTTCTGGGTGTTTATACTATTAAGCAAGGCCCAGATCCCAGCAACTCCTTCTACCCTTTCTTGGTGTTCCTATCTCTGCCCTTCAGTTTACAACTTTGAGAGGTGATGGGGAGCCACTGAAGTTTATTGGTTAAAGGAGTGACATGGGCAGACCTTTAGGATATCCCTTTGACACTTGTGTGAAGGATGGATTGGAGTGGTAGTCTTGAGGCAGGAAGACCTATAAGAAAGCTATTGTAATAGTCCAGATGAATGGTGATGAGGGCTTGATGAACTATGGTGGTGACTATGAGTGGAGAAAAGGGACATAATATAAACATAATGTATGAGAGGAGTTGTAAAACAGTGGGGTCAGACTCAAATAGAAATGGATCCCTGTGGGCCGTATTTTGACTTACAAAAACAAATTAACATTACCTATGTTGTATTGTATTTTATTTATTTTGTTAAACATTTTCCAGTTACACTTTAATCTGGTTCAAGCTGTATTCCAGAATTCTGCAGGCCATGAGTTTGACACTTCTGTTGTGTAAGTAGAGAAATAGCAAAATTCAAATTTTTAGTAAGTATATTTGTAAGCTAGAAAGTGACCTAGATGGAGAAGTCTTGAGATTATACCATAGGAAGATAATTTGAAGGAACTAGAAATATTTAGGCTAGAGAAGAGATGATTTGGTAGGGAGGAGGGGAGGGGGAGGGGGCAAAGAAGGATGGCTGTGGGTCCTTTCTTGAAGTGGTTGAAGGGCTGTGGGATTCAAGAATGATTAGACTTGCTTGGTTTTGCCAGAGGGCTAAATTTGGAGCATTGGATGGAAGTTAGAGAGATGCCATTCCACTCTATGAAAGTAAGAACTTCCTAACTATGAGAGCTTTGTAAAAGTGAAAAGCCTGGCCTCTGGGGGTGTTGGGTTCACCCTCCTTTGTTGTCTTCAAAGAAAAACTCTACAACAACTTGTTGTTTACATTGTAGGGGGCATTCTTAGTCTGGGGGGTGTCTAGATTGCCTCTGAAATTCCTTCCAAAAGTCATATTCTATTATTTAATTCTGTTATTCAATAAATACATGAAAAAAACATTTTGAAAAATCAAGTCTTATGCTGCTGAAAATTATCATTATTGTTAAGACTTTTCTGAATCCTTTTTCTTAATTTTAATCAGTGGAAAAGTGAGTTTCTTCTAAATAAATAGGTAAATCAGATTATCAAACAAACAAATAAATATATGAGCAAATGGTGGAGAGAGAATCCTCACTAAGAGTTCCCAATTCCATTGCAGATTCTCACCTTTTCTGCAATTCATGGCCTTTTGTTGGGAAGGGTGGGAAGCCTCAACCTCTCCTATCCAGACTGGAAGAGCAGTGGCCATTCATGGCCAGAACCCAGTACTGGTTGGCACAGATGGTTTAATCTACTCAGTTTTTCTGACCTGCCCCTGTTTGTGTCTCATTAGGCAGTACATTTCCCCCACCCCTCACCCACGCCCCCCAACCCTGGGACTTGTCATATTTGGAACTTAGTATGGACACTTAGCTTTGGCTAGCTCAGAAGTCCTAAACTCCGAGGACCCACCAGCTTCAGCCTCAGGCTCCCCCACTGCAAGGGAACATAGGCTTGTACTACCATGTCTGGCAGTAATTTTATAGTCTTGGAGAGTTGCCCAGGGCACCGAGAGGTTAAGTTACTTGGCTACGGTCACAAAGCCAGAGGCTGTCAGAGAGTCCTTGAACATAGGCTTTGCTAACTCTGAGGTTTCTCCATCCATTACCCCAGAATCTAATACCAAGTAGAAAAATGGCAAGGTTGAAAAAGATATGAGTGATAAAGGAATTTGTTTTAACACTGAGTTTTTGCCATTGAACGAGATGTGGCCCATACCACAATTTACATATAACTTGGCCTTTTTATTCTTTAAAAATCATTGAACAAAATCACTTTAGCTGCTTTATCTAATTTTTGTGTAATAGTTATAAATTTCTTTGAAAAGCTATATATTGATTAGTTTAAAATTTTAGGTAGAGGTTGTGTAGGTAGGCAGATTATTGATGGGATTAGCTTTAGAAAATTCAAGCTGGACATTTTTACATTTTTATAACATACATTAATTGGCTGTTGTCCATATTTATTATGATTAATACAAGCCTTTTTAGTTGTTGCAGTTAATTTCCTTCAAATTAAGTTTAGTAATTCCCTAGATTTCCTCTTCTCTTTTTAAAAAAATGCTTATCACATGTACACCTTCCCGATCTTCATAGATAATTTTGGTTTGTAACAGCATCTTCATCAGCATCCCCACTGTTTTGCATTTTATTTACTTCACAACCTTGAAAAATCCCACCAGTTTCTGGCAATTTAGTGGCACTTAAGTTTTTCAATCTATTCCCTAACTTCTTCCTTAAAGACTTCAATCTTAGTTAAGGCCACCCTCTGAGTTCCTGTTAATTTTTTTTTAAGAGCCCTTGGGATAGGAATTTCCCCATTCTGTAGTAATGACTGATGGAAGGAATTTGTTCAATTTCTCTGTAATCTACAATAATGATCCTCTTTAATTGCCCTCTACCTCTTGGTGGTCTCAAGGATCTGTGGGCACCTTCTCCTTCTTGTACTTGACTAATTTTTAATTATTTGATCTTTAAAGTTAAGGCAAAAATTGAGTCTTACTACATTTGATTTTTAAGTAATATTTTACCATTTACCATTGACATAGCCTATGGTAAAATTTTAGTGTGGTTAATAGGTCTTGGCTAAAATTATTCATTTTAAGAAATGCTAACCTAAGTCTGAAACTTTAAATCCAGTTTTTGGGGAATCAAAAAAAAAAGTTCAAACATTCTCCCTCACATAAAACATTTATGAGAAGGAAACAAGTAGTAAGTAAAATGAATAAATTGTTATTAGGCTTAAAAAAAGGGCAAGTTTCATTCAAACATTCTTGAAATCAGTCTGAAATTAGTCAAAAAGAGTGACTGAAATGTCCATACCCCAAGGTCAGTGACAGAAAGGCTCCATGCTCACAGAAATATTTATAGCAGTACTTTTTATAGTGGCAAAGAACTAGAACCTTTCAACTGGAGAATGGCTAAGCTACTTGTGCTACCAGAATATGAATGTCAGAAATCATAAATATGATGAAGCTGAGAAGCTTGGACAGGCATACAAGAACAGATGCAAAGTAAAGTAAGAAAACCATGAAAACAATTTCACATGATGATTACAGCAATAGAAATGGGAAGAACAACAGCAAAACAATGAAATTGAATTCTGTGAAATGACCAAGCTTGACCTCCTACGAGATAGAATACCGCTTCCCCCCCCCCCCGCTCCACCCCGGCCCATTTTTGCAGAAATGAGGAGCTATGGATGTGGATGTAGAACACTACATATAAAGTCAGACCTTTTCAATATGATGGTTGGTGTTGGTGTCCCTTTTTTCCCCCTCTTTAAAATCTTCATTATTAAGGATGGCTTTCTAGGAGGAACATATTGGGGAATGTTAGAGGATCTAAAAACAAAAGATAGAATGAAAATTTATTTTTGATAAAATGTTTTCAGGGTATAATCATAGATGCATAAATTTAGAGCTAGAAGGAACTTATATGTTATAGAATCCATATAGATTTAGTCTATTCTCCTATAGCTTTTATGCCTAGGGCATTTTACACTGAATTTAATAATCAATAAGCACTTTATTAATTCCTTATTATGTTCCCAGCACTGTGCTCAGTGCTGGGGGTTCAGAGAAAAAAGCAAAAATACTCCACGCCCTCAAGAAGATTAAATTCCACTGGGGGAGACATTTAGGTTTATACAGAATATGCACAAGGTAGACAGAAGGTAACTTTAGAGAAAAAGTGCTTGCAGCTTGCTTATCGACCATATAGCAAATATAAGGTAACTGGAATCGCTAAATTAAACAGACTTTTCCATTCCTCTGTGATTTTGATAAATAGAAACTGCTGTGTGTCACTGATGGTTTTCTTCTTAAAATGTCATTTATATTATGATTTTGGGCCCTTTTCTTCATTTATATCAGGGAACTTTCATGCCCCAGCAGAAATAGATGTAATATTCCCCAAATTTCACCTATAATTTCTTTTTCATCTAAATATGACTAGTCAAGAGGGAAATGTCAGTTACTTTTGGAAGATATGACCAACAGACAACTAGCTACTTGAAATCTAGTCATTACCACGTCTAGTATGAGTCAGTTGCCTCACATTATATAGGACTATTATGAACTCTATAATTTTTCTCTGTGTGGGTGTTGGGAAGGGTCTGGACCTGTAGATCATGTGAGTGGAAGAAACTCTTAGTATGAAAACTCCCTCCACTGATATAGATCGGCAACTCTTACAGAGTTACTTTTGGGGAACTGAGAGACCGAATTTGTCCATGGTCACACAGATATTAAGTACCTAAGCCAGAACTTAAATCTAAATCTTCCTAACTCTTAACTTTTTAACCACATTCATTATGTCATACTTCCCATCTCCTCTGGATTATTCTAGAAACTGAGGCTCAGAGAGATTGAAGGCATATCAGTGCTCACAGAATACCAAATGTGGGATTCAAACCCAGATTTTATCTGACTTCAAGTCCAGTATTCGTTCCACTAAGCAACAATTTAATTTCTCCCAGTCTCAGATTCTTCATCTGTGAAACAAGAATGTGAATTTCTGTGCTACTTACTTCAGAGGTTGCTTTGACATAATGGATAGAGAGCTGACTTTGGAATTGGGAAGATTTGGGTTCACTCTGAGACCACATACTGGTTTTGCAACTTTAGGCAAACTTAACTTTAACTTTTTTGTAATAGGCAACTGTGTAAGTTACATAGTGTGCCAGACCTAAACTAGGGGAAGGCATGTCCTCACCTGAGATTTCTATTTGTGATGAAATTGCAGGTTCAGTCCCTATCCCTGTTACTTATGCTGCTTCATAGGACTACTGTGAGGATCAAATGAAATGATTTTTTAAAATGCTATGTTGCTATATAAATGATAGCTGCTCTTATTACTATTTTCTATCTCTAATTTTTTATTGATGACCCACTAATCTATGTCAAATAACAGTACTCACCAACTTAATTTTCTAAATCAAAAAGGAAAAAATAATATCCATATATCTTTTATTTGAGAATTTCAGCTATCTACTCGAGAAAACTTTTAGAGCTAGCATACAGATACCAGGCCAAATCAAGCCAAACACACTAATATGATGGATCTCATTATAAGATGCTAGGACCATTCACTGCTTTTAGTTAAAAACACTTATCTAATTATGCCATGACGAGGGCAAACTGATATCCAAAAACAAATCATGAGTAATCTAACTAGCAGAATGGTTTACATTCATCACCACTGTAGTACCCAGGAAGTTAAGAAACTAACTTGGCATATTTACAAATACTATAATTTTACCATGTGTTAGGTATCCTGCTATATTTATATGGATGGAAGTAATGTAACAATTTTTTTTGAGACATCAAATTGTGTGAAAAGAAATGACTGTTGAAATGATTGTTGCTTGTATTATCACTTTGCAATAAATGTTAAATTTCAAGGTTTTTTTTTCCCTTCAGTATACGGGAATCAACAACCACTTAAATATATATTTATAAATGCTGAATAAATAATAATATGAAAATAACAAAAGTCTATATATTAAGATCTTAAAGAGGGAAGTTACTGCTTTATTACGTGTGAAGAAATTTTGTGTATACAGCATTTGGGGAAAATTTTAATATTTTTTAAAATCTGTTTCAGATAAGATGGGAAAAAAACATCACATTGGGGGAACCGCCAGGCTTTTTGCATTCTTGGTGGTGGTAAGTGTATCTTGTTATTCCAGTTAAACTAGATTTATAATGTATTCCAATGGCCAATATATACGCAGGAGTATGTAATGACCAACAATGCAATTTTGTCATTGTATATAATTTCTACATTTTTGTCTTTCGTTTTCAAAGAGCATTCCTATTTTCTAAATTTTTTCCTGTGTCCCTCCAAAAAAAATTTAAGAAAAACGAAGAAAACAAAACTCTTGTAACAAAGATGGATAGTGAAGTAAAACAAGCTCCTGCATTAGCTGTGTATACAAATTTATGTCTCATTCTGTACCTTGGGTCCATCACTTCTGTTTTAGGGGGGTAGGTAATTTGCTTCATTATCGATCCTCTGGAATTGTGGTTGGTCATTGCACTGATCACAGTTTTTAAGTCTTTGAAAATTATGTCTCTGCAGTGCTGTGTTATATAAATTGTTTTCTTAGTTCTGTTCACGTGACTCTGTATCAGTTCGTACAAGTCTTGTGCTTTTCTGAAACTGTCCCTTTCATTTTAGTATTATTCTGTTACATTAATATACCACAATTTGTTCAGCTATTCCTTAATTGATGGGAACTCCATTACTTTCCAGCTGCTATAGAAATATTTTTACAAGTGGCTTCCTTTCTTTGATCTTTTTGAGATATAGTTTGATAATAGAATGTCTGGGTCAAAGGGGTATACACAGTTGAGTGATTTTTGGGCCATGGTTCTATATTAGCTTCCAAAATAGCTGTGACAGTTACCAATTCCAGCGACTGTACATTAGTCTTCTGTTTTCTACCAGTCCTCTAGCAACTGTAATTTTTTTTTAATTTTTGCCAATCTGATAGATATGAGGTAGAAATGCAAAATTGATTTAGTTGGCATTTTTTGAATTATTGGTGATTTGGAATATTTTTTCCTATATTTGATGATAACTTGTATTTCTTCCTTTAAAAACTGCCTGTTAATATCCTGTAGCCATTTATTTATTGAGGAATGGAGCTTATTCTTATAAATTTGAATCACTTCCTTTTATGTCCTGGATATGAGACCTTTATCACAGAAACTTCTTGCAAAGATATTTTTCTTTTATGTTTTCCTCCCCTAAATTTAATTGCATTGGTTTTGTTTATGCTAAAACTTGTAAATTTTTTGTATTCAAAATTATTCATGTTATCTTCTCTGATACTTTTTATCCCTTTTTATCATCTTGAATTTATCCCCTTTACATAGATCTGAGAGGTAATTTCTTCCATGTTCCTCTATTTTGCTTATGATATGTCCTTTTTTATCTAGTTCATGTATCCACTTGTTGCTTATCTTGGTATATGACCTGTTCTTTCTAGCTTATGTATCCACTTGGAGCTTATCTTGGTATATGATGTGAAGTGTTGGACTAAATCTAATTTCAGCCAGACTGCTTTATAGTTTTCCCAGCAATTTTTGTGAAACGGTTAGTCCTTACCCCAGTAGCTGGGTTCCTGAGTTTTATCAAATACTAAACTACTAGGTCATTTGCTTTGGTATGCTTTTATCTAATCGGTTCTACTAATTGATCCTGCTATTTTGCAACCAGTGCCAAAGAATTTTGATAATTACTGCTTTGTAGTGTAGTTTGAGATCTGCTACTTCTAGGGCCCCCTCTTTCCTCCTTTTTTTTTCTTTATTTCTTTTAAGATTGTTGACCTTTTGTTCCTCCATATCAAGAGTTCTTGACCTGGGGTCAGTGAGTTTGTTATTTTAATATTTTGATAAGTACATTTCAATATAATTATTTTTCCTCTTAATCTTATGCATTTTATTTTATGCACTTAAATATTATTAAGAGGCATCTATTGGCCTTTACAGACTTTGAAAGGGGTGCATAACACACAAAGGTTTAAGAACTCCTGCTCTAGCTAAATTTGGTTATTATTTTACTAGCTTTGGTAGTTTAGTATGGTATTGAATATATAAATTAATGTAGGTATTATTGTTATTTTTATTTTCAAATTTATTTAGTATTTTATTTTTCCACAATTGCATATAAAAGCAGTTTTTAACATTAGTTTTTTAAAACTTTGAGTTCCAAATTATCTTCCTTCATCCCTCCCCCAACCCCCCTCATTGAGAAGGCAAGCAATTTGATAGAGGTTATACATGTGTAGTCATGCAAAACATTTCTATATTAGTCGTGTTGTGAAAGAAAACAGACCAAAAGAAACCCTCAAGAACAGTAAAGTAAAAAAAGTATGCTTCAATCTGTATTTGGACATCATGAGTTCTTTATATGGAGATGGATAGCATTTCTCATCATAAGCCCTTCAGAGATGTCTTGGATCATTGCATTGCTGAGAATAACTAAGTCATTCACAGCTGATCATCTTACAGTATTGCTGTTACTTTGTACACAGCACGTTTCACTTTGCATCAGCTCGTGTGAGTCTTTTCAGGTTTTTTCTGAGAGCATCCTGCTCATCATTTATTTTAAATTTTGGAGGTAATGGGGGTTAAGTGAATTGCCTAGGGTCACACATGTAGCTAGTCAGTATCTAAAGTTGGATTTGAACTCAGGTCCTCCTGACTCCAGGGCCAGTGCTGTATCCACTGAGCCACCTAACTGCCCCCCTGCTCATAATTTCTGATAGACAATAATATTCTATCATAATCACGTACCACAGTTTGGTCAGCCATTCCCCAATTAATGAGTATCCCCTCAATTTCCAATTCTTTGCCCCCAGAAAACAGCTTCTATAAATATTTTTGTAAATATAGGTCCTTTTCCTTTTTTTAATCTGTGTTTGTTGGGATATAGACCTAGTAGTAGTATTGCTAAGTCAAAGGGTATGCATGTTTTTATAACCCTTTGGATATAGTTCCAAATTGCTATACAGAATGGTTGCATCAGTTCACAACTCCACCAGCAGTGCATTAATGTCTCATTTTTCCCATATCCCCTCCAACATTTGTCATTTTCCTTTTCTGTCTTATTAAGGCATTCTAATAGGTTTGAGGTAGTAACTCAGAATTGCTTTAATGTGCATTTTTCCAATCAGTAGTGAGTTAGAGCATTTTTATATAACTATAAATAGCTTTGGTTACTTCATCTGAAAACTGTTCATACCTTTTTGATCATTTATCAAGAGGCAAATGGCTCTTATTTTTATAAATTTGGCTCAGGTCTTTGAAAAATGAGGCCTTTATCAGAGAAACTTGCTTCAATTTTTTTTGTAGTTACTGTTGCTAACTGTATTTCCCTTCATCCTATTTCCCCCTCCTCATTTATTCTCTTCTCCCTCTCCTTTCATCTTGTCCCTCCTCAAATGTGTTTTGCTTCTGACTGCCCCCTCCCCCAATCTGCCCCTCTATCTGCCTTCTATCACTCCTCTCCCCTTTCTCTTATCCCCTTCCCCTGGTACTTTCCTGTAGAGTAAGATAGATTTCTATACCCAATTGAGTGCCTATGTTATTCCCTCTTTGAGCCAATTCTGATAAGAGTAAGGTTCATTCACCCCCTTTCACCTCCTCCTACTTCCCCTCCACTGTAAAAGCTTTTTCTTGCCTCTTTTATGTGAGATAATTTAGCCCATTCTACCTCTTCTTTTAACTTTCTTCCAGTACATTTCTCTCTCACCTCTTAATTTTATTTTTTTCAGATATCATCTCTTCATATCCAACTCATACCTGTGCCCTCTGTCTATATATACTCATTTTAACTTCCCTAGTAATGAGAAAGTTCTTATGAGTGACAAGTATCATCTTCCCGTGTAGGAATATAAAAAGTTTAACCTTATTAAGGCCCTTCTTATTTCCCTTTCCTATTTACCTTTTTGTGCTTCTCTTGAGTTTTGTATTTGAAAGTCAAATTTTCTATTCAGCTCTGGTTTTTTTCATCAAGAATGCTTGAAAATCCTCTATTTCATTGAATATCCATTTTTCCCCCTGAAGGATTATGCTCAGTTTTGCTGGGTAGGTTATTCTTAGTTGTAATCCTAGTTACTTTGCCCTCCAGAATATCATATTCCAAGCCCTCTCATCCTTCAATATAGAAGCTGCTAAATCTTGTGTTATCCTGACTGTGGCTTCATACTATTTGAATTGTTTCTTTCCGGCTGCTTGCAACTATTTTCTCCTTGAGCTGGGAATTCTGGATTTTGGCTATAATATTCCTGGGAGTTTTCCTTTTGGGATCTCTTTCAGGAGGTGATTGGTAGAGTCTTTCAATTTCTATTTTACTCTCTGGTTTCAGAATGTCAGGGAAGTTTTCCTTGATAATTTCTTGAAAGATGATGTCTAGGATCTTTTTTATCATGGCTTTTAGATAGTCCAATAATTTTTAAATTGTCTCTTTCTATTTTCCTGGTCAATTATTTTTCCAATGAGATATTTCATATTATCTTCTATTTTTTCATTCTTTTGGTTTTGTTTTATTGTTTATTGATGTCTCATAAGGTCATTAGCTTCCAGTTGCTCAGTTTAAATTTTTAATGAAATATTTTCTTCAGTGAGCTTTTGTACTTCCTTTTGCAATTGGCCAATTCTACTTTTTAAAGGAATATTTTTCTTCAGTGAATTTTTGTGCCTTTTTAAAATTTGGCCAGTTCTGCTTTTTAAGGCATTCTTCTCCTCATTGGCTTTTTGTACCTCTTTTACCATTTTACCCAGTGTGCTTTTTAAGGTGTTATTTTCCTCAATATTTTTTTGTGTCTCCTTTATCAAGCTGTTGATAAAGCTATTGAGTCATTTTTCATTATTTTCTTGTATCACTCTCATTCCTCTTCCCAATTTTTCTTCTAGCTGTCTTACTTGATTTTCAAAATCCTTTTTGAACCCTTCCATGGCCTGATACCAATTCATATTTTTCTTGGAGGCTTTGATTGTAGGAGCTTCGACTTTGTTGTCTTCTGAGTATATGTTTTGATCTTCCTTGTCACCATAGTAACTTTCTGTGGTCAGAATTTTTTCCTGTTTTTTTGCTCATTTTCTAGCTTATTTCTTGATTTTTAACTCTGTGCTAAAGTGGGGCTCTGCTTCCAATG